TTTTTTATTTGTTTAATGTATAAATTTTATAATTTTTCATATATATTCTTTTAATATTAGCTACTATTGAAAAATAGTAACAAAGCTATCTTAATATATAGTTTGTATAGCACTAGTCATTAAAAAGTTCACACATGTGTGTAAATTTTAATGATTGAACTTAAATATGTAAGAATAGTTATTAAAAAGACATTGTGAACAACTATGGTTAATTCATATATTTATTTATTTAGTACACCATAGAATGTTAATTTGAAGAGTTCGTGATGATTAAATTAGTATAACATTATAATGGACAGTTTTTATTAGTCAAAATGTATTTTTTTAAACATTAAAAAAATAAGTCTCGTTTTAAAGAAGATGACGCGAATACAAAACAGATAGATTTTATTTAATAGTTCTATGGAAATTTGATTTGTTTTATTTTCTAAAAATAGTGGTTCTCTTCTAAAACACTTTTATTTAATTGCTATTAATTTTCTATTTATAATGACTTAATTAATAAATTGCCGTTTTAATTTCTATTTAAAAATATTAGATAATAGCTCTCTTTTTTAACACTGTGTTAAACTGAAAGGAATATAATTGATTATGTTTTATTCAATAAAAAAAAATTATAATATTTTTTCTAACAATTTATAAATAGAATTTACAAAAACAAATGATAAATTTATTATCCAGTATTAATTTTTTTTTAATCATATTTAACGTTCTCTTCATAAGCTATTGCTTGTACTAGAAAGAATAGGAAAACCCACATACTATAGGTAACTTACTCGAACCTTTATTCGGTAACTATGCCGAGGCACATCACGTAACCGACTAAACTAGGTAGGCTGTTTTAATTAATTTTATAAAGTGATCTGTTACAATAATTATTAAATAATATTGCTATTGTATGCAAAATCTCCTGTGATACGGTTGGGCATAAAAAAATTAATTGGTCCTTCTAAATGATCTAAATTCAAGCAATATCGTAAATAATAAGAAGTGGCCTAGCTCATGTACTATGAGAACTACATCGTTAAACATTCAGTAGATATTTTATGATACTAAAATTAGTATTTTTTTTTAGTATAATTTGTTTTTGTTAGAAAACTTCTTATAGTTTAAATGAATGTAATAACATGCATTTAAACTAGTATATCGATAGAATAATAATATTAAAGGTAATTGTTAAAAATTATATTTATTCTTTCTTCTATTTCCTCGCCTTAATCTCAACTACTTGGGGTCGGCCAAGAAACATTATGAAAAAAAGCGTTGCTATTAAAATGAGATTTTTTAATGAATTAGTTACGGTCAGTATTACAACAAAGATATCAACAAAGATGCATGAAAATTATATTTTAATAATATTTTACTATAAATAATGTTTTCATTTATTTTTCCAAATGAAATCAAACACAATTTAATTAGTTATTAATGATGAGTACAAAATGGTATATTATATCTATGAAACATTATAATAAAGACAGTTTTATTGCTGTCATTCTATCACACAAAAGAGTATATATATATATATATATATAGTAACGGGTTTCCATTACGATTATTTAATATTCAAAACTCGTTTAATAATACCTATACTGGTAAGGTTTTTGTTTCATTATAGTATGAAAATATAGTAATAGTTATGAAAATATTTGTCGTTGATGATATTAAAAAAAAAAATTCTTAAACTTAAATGTTAAGTAATATTGGTTTACTAAATTCTAATGTGAACATAAGAGCAAATTTGAATTGTATTTTTTGTCATATTCAATTAAATTTTGGAAAAATTTTTTACTTTATTTGTACGTAATTATATAACAATCATTGTAGTACAGATCTAATATAGTTTGACCATTTACATTAAGCCTGATCAATGCATTCGGAATGTGAAAGTGAGTGACATTTTATGGCAACATAGCTAGAACTATATTAGTTGAATGGAGGTCAACATACTTCTTTTTTAAAAATAACAAAACTATTAATTGTATTTTACTTAAAAATCGACATTAGTCAAAATGTACAGTATTACAATTATTGAAGAAATAAAATTTTATGAAGAAAATAAGTAATTAAAATTAAGATACCATAGAAATTAAGCCGTAGGTAAACCACTAAATTTTTGTAACAATCAATTAATATCATATTAAAATACATCCATTTTTTATTTTTGTTTTGAATTCTTCGAAAAATTACATTTTCTAACATAATTCTTTCTGAAGTGCAATTACAGACAAGTAGTATTCAAAATTTGTAATATTCAGTACCGACTAGAAACGAAAATTTATTCGGTTATTTTTACTTTATAATTGTAAGATATTTAAAAAAGCTAGATTTTTATTTATCACAACGCACTAAATTGTTTGTAAATATTTAGTATAATAGTAATCTTCTTTAGCTTCGATGCGAAACTGAGAAGGTATTAATTTTACTATGATGTGTTTTTTTTTTGTGTATATTATCACTCAATCTCAGCTCTCACTGGACCGATTATGATGAACAATACGTCAAAAGATCACAAATTGTATTTAGTCGAAGACATAACCGTCAAAAATTGAAAAAAAAATTCCCTCGTTCTCCGTAAATGGGGGAGTCCCCCCAAAAATTATAGTTTTAAAAATCAATAATTTTTGACATATTTTCAATTTTTTTTTCTTAAAACTACCACAACTTTCTTAATAATGAACAAATCAATGTAATTTTTTTAATATACTTTATGTATTTGCCTATCATTTTATATATTTTTGTGAATATTTGACCCTTACCTGCCGAAGGGGGGTTTCAAAATGGCAACTTTTTCTACTTAACTTTGTCCGGAAATACTGACACTTTTATATATATCTTAAATTGAAGCTAATGTAATAAATTTTAATTTGAAAAAAAAAATTTGAACTATGGACTTGTCTTCGTGGTGAAAATGACTACCGTATTCAAAAATATGCTATATTTGTGTTAAAATTGTGAGTTTTATATTTTATTTTTATTTAAAATGCCTTACAAGGGGAGTACACAAATTTTCATAAATATTATATAAATCTAATTGTAATAGCATAGAAAGTTAAGGTCATTTAGATTTTTTTGCTTCTTTTAAGTCGAGATAAATAACTTCGAAATTTGAACTAGCTTAAATTGTCAATTTTATCTTCTTACGAACGCTACGTTCAGTTGCTGAGTCGATAACACTTGTGTCTATTACGCTTGGGGTACGAATTTCCAACCAACCTATGGTATGGTTTTTTTGCATTTTTTTCTTAATTCTTTTTATTTTTAATTTTTTATCTCATTTAAATTTAATAACTTCAATGAATATCGAGAGCTCCAACACTGTAGTCTAGTTAGAAGAAATTAATTATTCATATTAAAATTATTTTACTATGTGGTTTTTTTTTGGGCTGTATTTTATTTTCTCAGCTCTCACTTATATTTTAAAAGTATTTACTGAATTAAGTTTAATACGATAATCGGTTTTATGCATATTAATCTTAAAAATACCATTTTATTAATTCTTATAAAATTTTCTATTTAATGATATTAATATCAAACTAGCAAGTTGAGCTAAATGGTAACACATTCAACTATTTTTTGTTATAAACATTCACAAAACTTTTTCATTAACTTAAATGACAAAAAAATTGGTTAAAAATGAAATTTTGGACAGATTATTTTTAACACATTAAATATCAAAATCAGTAATAATTTGAAAACAATATTTTTTTTGTTCGATGCAAAGCTGAGAAGGTATTAATTTTACTATGATGTGTTTTATGTTTTAATTATTATTTTATATGTAATTAGTAAAATAATCAAAAATTAAAAATTTTTAAAACTGGTAAATTTTAACACTTTTTCATACATTTCATACATGTATTTTCTTTTTAAAACTGCTCTAACATTTTCAAAAATGAAATAATTAAAATAGTTTTTTTTTATATAAAATCTTTATGTATTTTCATTTTATTCATTATACGTTTTTTGAAAATCTGACTATTTACTTGGCCATAAGGGTGAATTCAAAATAACAACTTTTACACAAAAAACGATTTCTTCGACTTAACTTTTGAAAATATTCCAGAAATATTGCATATAGTTTATATATACCCTTTCAAATAATATATTTTTATCTGATATATATTTTTTTAAACTAGACAATTTTCCATCATACAGGGGGTGTTTAAAACTTGAAATATACGTATAAATATTATAACTTTTTCAACTAAACTCTTGAAAATGTTAAGGAATTACTGTGTTTTCTAAATATATGCTAGATTAAGGCTTATGTAACGTACTATAAGTTTAAAAAAAATATGTACCAACGACCTATCTTTATGTGCAAATGACCGTCGAAGTTGAGTTAATAATTAAATATTTAATAAGTAAATTTAAATTTATTATATATTTATTCATATATTACACTTATATATCATAAAAATTGTAATAAGGATGTAGGAGTTTATTTTGTTTTTGGTATAGTACATAATTTTTTTAAAGTTAAACATGATCTATAGATTTGTATCGAAGTGTTTCTCATAAAGTGATTTTAATCACTTTCCGATATCATTTTACCTTGTCCTAACTATGTGCACATTCACACTGTGCTACCGTTTCATTTTAAAGAAATATTTTAATATAACATGTTATTGATTCGGCTTAGCCAATATATTAATGTATTAATATATTATTGTAATATATTAATGTAGAAATTAGTTGAGGTAAAATAACGAAATATTCAGTTCATCATTCGAGAATTATAAATGTTACGAAGTAAATGTATTGAAGTGATTAAATAATAAAAAAATTTTACGTTAGTAGTTTGATTATTATTCATTTCATTTGCCTACTACTTGCGTACATAATTCATATCAGTGTAATGAACAGTGAATATTTATGTATACAATAGAAGGAACAATAACTGTAATAATTGTTATCTCATAAAATCGAATGCGTTTGCGATTGAACTATATAATTATTAACCTTGGGTTCAGCTGATTATCATAAACGCATTTATGACTTGTGGAATTAGTTATCAGTTGGTCTTTGGGTCCGTAAGTATGGTTGTCGCTTTGCTGACCAGACATTTAAAATCGTATAAAACCGTCGTTGGGTTATTGCGCGCCGACCGGAAAACAGCCTTATTGTTGAGCGGTTTCCGATGTGAAGTTGTTTTAAGTTATTGTACAAGTAAAAAACTACAAGTAGTTCCGTTTATATTGGCCGATATCGGAGAGGGCATACGCGAAGTGACCGTTAAGGAATGGCACGTGAATGTCGGCGATCAGGTTGTGGAGTTTGACAACGTGTGCGAGGTGGAAAGCGATAAAGCCACCGTGACCATAACTAGCCGATATAAGGGTTCGATTCAGAAATTACACTATAATGTAGGTGATCTAGCCAAAGTGGGTGATCCTTTGGTTGATATCGAGTTGGAATCTGAGTTAGGTATAGCTACGGAATCAAAAATTGAACCGGAAATAGTAGCAACTAATGTGGAAACTAATGTTCGAACTCAACCAGCCGTTATCCAACCTTATAATTTTGACAAAGTTTTGACCACTCCAGCTGTGCGTAGAATAGCAGCCGAAAAAGGTATAGACTTAAAAACTATTAAAGGTAGTGGAAAATATGGTCGTGTGCTTAAAGAAGACCTTTTGGACGAAACAACAAAATTGGTACCAATTACTGGTTACAGAAAATCTATGCGCAATGCAATGGATATATCTAATACAATTCCGTTGTTAGTTATTACTGACGAAGTTGATTTGACTAGACTGATGGAAGTAAAAGCTCAATTAGCACCTCATGTAAAGTTAACCATACTTCCATTTTTAATCAAGGCCACATCGTTGGCACTTACTCTCCATCCTTACATGAATTGTACCCCAACTGCCGATTTCAACCATTTGCGAATGAACACTACACATAACATAGGAGTGGCAATAGATACACCTTTGGGACTAGTCGTACCCAACATTAAGGAGGTTCAATCATTATCGATAAATGAAATCTCCGAAAAATTAAAGGAATTAAGAATCAAAGCTAATGCTGGAAAGTTGAGTCCAACCGATGTTAACGGAGGAACATTTACACTGTCAAACATAGGAGCAATAACAGGTTCCTCTTTTAAACCTATGATAATGCCACCGGAAGTAGCATTGGCTGCTTTGGGCCAAGTCAAGTACAGGCCTAGGTACAACGTAAAAGATGAGCTAGTCAAAACTCCAGTCATGAGCGTTTCTTGGGCAGCCGATCATAGAATATTGGATGGTGCTACAGTCGCCAGATTTTTTAATGATTGGAAAATTTATGTCGAAAATCCTGCATTAATATTAGCCAATACTCAACTCTCTAAAAATTAAAAAAGACTAAACGAAAATAAAGTAATGATAATTTATAACTATGTACACATTTGTATAAACGATTTATTTTATTTTATTTTTACGTAATAAATATTTAAACTTAACAGATTTCATTTATTTATTTATATTAAATTCAAAATTAGTACCTAGTGCATAACTATTAAGTCATGAGAACGTGATACAAACATATAGAATAAACTTTGTGACTAACAAGCACGAATTTTTTAGTTGCATACAATATTCAATTTGCATTATAAATACAATTATCTACTCATATGTTTTTCATGAGTACAATATTTCATACAAATTATAATTTCATGACAATCGCTAAATCGGACGATAGTTAATCTTTGTGTTTATTTAAAGCTTAAAAAGTCATTAAAAATTATCCAATTTTAATGTTATGCAATTGTTATTTTTTATGAGTATACAATTTTTAAAGAAAATATTTTAAAATATTATGATTTAGTTTTATTTTAGTCCTTACCCATGCCATAAAATAGGTACTGTATATCTTATTTTGTCTATTACCAAATACTGTATATTTTCTGTACTGAATGCCTTTTTAGGCGTTACTTTATTAATAAATAAATTAACGTAAAAAATTTAATCACTAGTGTTTATCATTATTTTTTCTTGTTATTAATTAATTTTATGCTTAAAATTTAATTTTTAATTAACTTAGTCAATAGAATTTTGGTTTTTCATAGTTAATGTTAGTTCTTAAAAAAAAAAAAAATAATAATACAGATTAGAAAAAATGATGATAATATTTGTTAAATACATAATATTAAATTTATATTAATATACTAAATAAATATGTAATGCAAATTCATTTTTCAAGATAGCTCTGTACATTTAATTATTTGCCTTATATATCTCCTCGATGATATTTGAGTATGAATAACTTACAAAAATATTGAACTCTCAACGTGAAAGGTTCACAAACCATCAGGTACAAATAATATTATATGTATGCAGCAGTTCTCATTTATTGCTCTGAACAATGCATCATCGTCATTTTCGAACGTGTTATAATGTTCTTTTGTTTAATATTCTTGTCTCATCAACAACATTTCTCTGATGTATATGAACCCCAAGATCAATGACCTTCGGGTCTTATGCATAAGCCGAAGACGTTTGATCATAATTTTGTTAACATATATTTCGTCTTGATCATCAAATGTTATATAACGGGCATACATAATCATATTATTAATATAAATATATTTAACACGATATTTAGTTTAAGCAGAATAATATATAACAGAAAACTCTACGTATTATTTATTTAGTGCAAGTATATATAATCTACCCTAAGAATAAGAAAAAAAATTATCATATAACTAATACATTATAATTAACATCTTTATATTTTGAATATTAATAATCTACTGGACATTATTTTAAACAAGGATCTTAAACCTTTATTCATTTAAGGAAATTTAAAGTAGTCTCTTAACATTTTCTAAAACGTATTAGTCATTTATCAATTTATTATTTTTTTAAAACACATAATAGTAGTAAGGTGTTTAAAAATGGTAATAATAAAATCAATAAAAAGATAGAATTAGCCAATATACAAATTTAAGGTTGTTTAAATTTAATTTTGCTCTTGAACAAAGTATATTTATTATTCACTAAATTGCATTTAGGGGAGTACAGGTGCACACGTTTTGGACAGCAGTCAGGAACGTCTTTACACATATTGTAAGTACTATAATAGGAACGTAATCACAGCAGCACATTTTGAGGACCAGCAATATTTCAAAGTGATTTTTTTTTTTTATTGTGATTAAAGCAATTACATTACTTTTTTGTAGATACTTTAAATATTCAATTTTTGTTGTTGTAAAATATGTATACTTAAATAGCTATAGCTAATAGTAAATTTATGACAATACTTGTACTCTGGTTATAAATTAAATACTATTAATTATTTTATTTAATTTTTCTTTTATATTATATTTTATCATTTTTTCTCAGTTCTAGGTATTATGTTTTATTATTTAATTATAATTTAAATTAAGGTTTTTCGATTTTAAAAATTGAAAATCCATATATTTTAATAACGATATAAAAAATTTAATGTTTGGGGATAGGAATTCTCAGCCATCCAATGAAGTGCAACTATTTTTCAGGTGCCTACACGCAGAAAACATGTATAGTCATCCGCGAAAGTAAGGATGTACTTAATCATTTAATGAGGAGTACTAGTGTCTATTATTGGGCGCTGAATTTAAATATTAAGATATTAAAAACATAATATTTTAGTATGAGTCAAATTGATTCATACTTGTGTTTTTTTCAATTTAGTACTAAAGACATATGCCATATAAATTGTATTTAATATAGATTATAATTTGCTTAATAGTTAATCACAATTGACTTTAAGATGTTAAAAATGTAATATATCCAATAATTTATTAATATAAAATTAAAAATATAATGTTTTGTAATATATTATATATAAACTTGTTTAAACAAGGATTCGTTCATAATTTAAAACGAGAAAGTCGTTTTAATAAGTAGCACTTTTTTTTGTCAGTAGATATATAATTTATCTTATCAATAAAACAAAACCTCAGTACAGTGGGGACGCAGCATAGTGGAACAAATATAGATGATATCTCACAGTGATTAGCATTATTATTATAAAACGCTTTGATGCATATCTGTTAAATATCACAATAATTTGTATATTTATAATTATACAATTGCTATGTTTTAAAATTTCACTAAAATATTAAAGACTTGATGTATTATCTGCTTTATCAAATAATATACATAGGAAATATCTGTAATCGTTTAGCTTAATCCTTCTATCAAACAATCATTTAGTGCCTTGCAACCAAAACATGAAATACAAGAATTTTATTATGGTAACAAAATTTTGAAAACAGACAGTGAGAGCTGACAATTTTCATAGATACACAAAAAACATGATAGTAAAAACAATAACTCATCTTCTTATCGAAGCTTAAAATAACCCAGGACATACAGTTATCACGAACAATCGGCATATTGGAAATTAATATAGATTGAAATTTGACGGTGATTAAAAATACTATCATAAAACACTTTGTGTGAACATGTTTATTCGAGAATTTGACTAATTCTTTTTTGGTGACTATATTGGATTATAAACCCAACCAAATACATTAGAAAAATTTATCTTTTTCAACAAAATTTTTAGAAAAAATTGTGTAATTTTTTACTTTACAAATTTCTATTATGATATATATTTAAAGAACGTAATCAAACCGGTAAATATTCAATAATTAAAAAAAAATGTCGGATTTCAAAAAAAACTCAGTTAAAATTAATCCTATTATAATTTATAATTGAATTTTGAAAACAGAATATATATATATAAAGGCAATGACTCTAGTATTGTCAACATAAATTTCATTTTAATCGAAATAAATTTTTCTTTTTCACGATTAGGGTTCTTTTCATATTTCTCTATATAAATAGTAAAAACTAGGTCTCATCTACAGTCTATATTTTAAAATTGTAATAACTTTTGAACTATTGGTCTAAATATTATTTTTAAAACGTCATTTTCTATTATATAATTTAGTTAAATATGTTTGTTGCCTCTTAAAAAAATAAAAATAAACTTCTATAAGTTAAATGGTTTATTTTAAACATTAATTATTAATTTATAAATTACAAAATATGTGGAATTGAAACCAAATATTTTATAATATTATATTTATTTTGTTAGTAATTAAGTGGGTTATTATACTGAATACCCTAAATATTAAAAAATGAGTGTATTTAAAAAAAATATGTTAAGTATTAATTTCATTTTAAAATTTTGAATGCATTATTCAATCAAACTTGATTTCTATTAGCTATTTCATTTTCATATAATTATTATAATTTGAATCGAGTCCATATTGAAATCATTAATAACTAAGTAATAAATATTTTAAATTTAGTTTGGAAATTACACATAAATTATTTATAACTTTATAAATCAATAATAACTCCTTTTATGTTATAAGATGGCAACTTTTTAAGCACCACAGTATTGACAAATACGATCTGCTAAAAAATATGTTCTTTTATCACTAGTAATTAAAAAATTATTTTTATCGATTGCTATTCCAAAAATTGTAGCATATATACGATTATATGTCACAAAGTTGCTATTAAATACAATTTATCGAAATTGTTTCTAGGAAAAAATAATTAATTGTATATATTATATACATACGGCGCTGTAGTTAGGCATTTTAGGTACATTTCTGCGTGTAATTTTTTGGAAATATTTAAATAATATTTATCTCCTTTCAAAAAATGTATAATATTTTGTATATCTGTTTTAATCACAAAGTTTTATGATTATTTTCGTCATTTTACGCCATAACTAGAAAGAGATGACAAAAACAGCAAGAATAAAGAAAAAATAATCGTTTTAGGGAAGGTATTAAAGAAGTTCTGATTCAAATATTAGATTTTAAACCTTTCTACAGTACACAGGAAAAACAATGGGAGCTTAACCTCGTAAAATTACACTACACATTACTAATTACCTTACTCTATCTTATTTTAATTTATTATTATTATTAAAAAATAGTGGTTCCCATTTAAAATAATTATAAATAAACATTTTTATCCCTGAAGGGATAAAAAAAAAATTTAACTTTTTATTGTAGAGTTTTAAAAACTTAATAATTTTTCTTTTTACAAAAATTTTAAATAATCAATAGTTTCTGAGAAAATAAGTGTCTTACCAGAGTTCGATCACTCTGTATATATATATATATAAAATCATAAGTATACTATAAGCCATTTTTATAATCACACACTTAATTTAAAATGTTAAATGATAATGTTATTAATTTTTTTTATATGTCTGAAAGATCCTTATTTTAAGTCAAATGAAGAGATTGTAACGACTGTAAAAAATAAACTCAATAATAAAACATTATCATCATCGTCACCATAAACTACTTAGTTAATAAATAGATAATAAGTTTAAATAATAAGTCTAGTTTTATTTCAAGTCAAATATTTGTTTAACTCAAAAGGATAAATTACATAATCATACAAATGTTACATATTTTTACATAGAATGATAGTATTTTAAAAAGATA